CCTTCTGGTGTCTTCAGGAAATAGGAAGCCAGCCTCCAAAGGACAATGCCCTTGGTACCCCAAGGCTCAAGCTGTCTCAGAGTGAGATACGTTAGGTGCATAATTAGAATAGTTATTTTCAATAGAAGACATTTCAGTTTTGAATGAACAGTTACTTCAGATGAAGTATGTGCTTTTTCAAAGTTGAGAAGTAGACTTTGGGCTTTTCAGCAGGATGAAAGTATTATTTGCTTGGCCTTGAGGCTGGCTGCCACAAAGACAAAAAGTTTTTTCTTTGGATACACAGAAGTCCACATGGGACATGCCAAGTAGGTCCCATCTGGGCCCTTGTGATCTGGGTGAAAGGCCTTGGCTCCTTTCCTTGTCCCAGGCCTACAGTATGCATGTCTCCAAGCTGCTGTACTGGCCCCATCTGAAACAGAAGTAGCAGCTGATCTACTTATGTGCTCTTGAATCTCAGAGGTTACTACTCTACCTGGGCACCTCTCATTGAGGGACTTCAACATGATATCTAATATAATATGCAGTATTTTTTTGCTAACTGTAAATTTTGAAGTTGCAGGGGCAGGGTTATGAGAGAAGAATGTTTGCCAGAACTTGGAGCTTGCTTTTTAGATCTTCATATACTTATTTTTCTACCAGAAGTTAAGTTGAGACAGTTTGAGGGCAGAGATGCAGAGTTAAGTAACTTTCTGTATAACTTGCATTTAACCAACCAGAAAATGCACTCTGCCTTACTTATCTGGTAAAAAGATTCATGTGAGAATTGTTGAGGTGGAATTACAGAGATATTTATCATTAATCTTAAATGGCACAAAAATAAGTTTGGCCTTTAGATACTTGGCATCTGGCTAGTTTGTCTGACTTGAGGCAAACTGTGGGATGCAAGCCAGGCCGTTCATTCTGGGCCAGTTTCCCTGCCCTGGGTCCTCTGTGTGCTAGCTTAGCTAGTTGGGTAGAAACTTGGCCTTCACTCACTTGCTGGGTCAATATGTCAGAGGCTCTACTTCTCCTTGGTTGGGAAGAACTAAGATGAGCAAAGGTACAGCCCTGCTTACCTCAGGAACCAACTAATGCTGTAAGCTGTAATGGGCAGACCAGGCTTAGAGGTGAGCAAGGTAGAAGCTGCTAGGGATGTGCCATCAGGAGAGAGAATATTTGGTGGAAGCCTGTCAGGGAGGTAGGGAGAGCAGACGTGTTCCAGGTAGGCAGAAGTGGAGCCAAATGCGGGGAATTTCAAGCAGTAAGATTTTGGTTCAATTGAGCCCAGTAGCTGCTCCAGATACTAGAAATGTTTAAGTAGAAGCTGGTCAAGCACTTATTCAGGATCTTATTGAAGATCCCTGCACTATGTTTGTTTTGTTTAAAAACACAGTTGCTCAGTAAATTCAAGTGAGCATTGTGATTGGCATATGCCATGGGGCTAGGGCTTTTCACACAGCTGGCTCGTGTTGGCCTTCCGAAGCATCCTTATAATCTTTATGGCTAGTTTGAAACAGTGTTGTGCATGAAATCACACACTTGCGCCATACCACACTGAACTCTGTTATGGAGAGCATATCAGTACATCTTGAAAGTTCATGGTTTATGTTTCATTAATTTAAGAAGAGATTGTTTTGTAGAATCACTCATGCTCAGATACTGTTTCTGGCTGGAAAAATGTCTTTTAGCTAAACTCTGCCTCAGGGATAATTCTTGACATTATTAAATGTATCTTTTTGGAATAAAAATGATGCTTACCTTCCTCCCTTAGAGATGGGAGGAGCTGTGTGAGGTTGTACTGTGAAGTCACTAAGCTCTCAGAAGGTGTCTGCCCAAGAGAGCTCAGTATTACTGACATTCCTGTCCTTCCTCCAGGCCTGGGTGGACAGCGGCTCTTTGTTCTGGGCATGCCCAGGTATGTAGACATCACTCAGGCCTGAAAAGTGTACTTGACTCATGCATGATGTACATATGTTTACTGTGATCTTGGTCCCAGACCCAGATTTGTCACCTCATTCTCCAGAATCATCACCTCATTGAATGTACCTGATCCTTGTAAATTCCAATTTGCATACTTGTTCTTAGTAGTGTGTGTGTGTGTGTGTGTGTGTGTGTCAGATTCTATGTTCAAGAAACAAATCTCAAGAAGAGTAAGAACATTTTAGTGCCTTTGAAGCCATATTGGTTTTTTAAAATTTCTAATAAATATTTATTTTGCCTTGTTATGACCATGCTTTATCTTTGTCCTGAGTGTGCAGATGCAAGGACCAACAAAAATTCTAGAGTGTTACTTAGAAGGATTGGACAGAAGGAAGGCCATTTTTGGACCTGAAGCCTGATTCTTGGTCCCCACACATGCAGGGACACAACCATCACAGTCATGTTGTGTGTCAGCTTCCTGTGGTGTATTCTCATCCAGTGCCCCATTTGAACCACTCAGCTGCTCTGAAGCAGCCAGAGAGATGAGTGAAGGGCCCAGACACTCATAGCTCTGAAATGCTGGCGGTTCCCAAGGCTCCCACATGGTGCCCTGTCATCTCTGTTGGCTCTCAGCTTTGTGTGTAAGTCCTACGCTCCATCTGGAGATCAGAAGGTGTCAATCATTGCTGCTTTTTTCACAGACCTTCATGAAGAAGCAATGACAGAAGAGCCTGGTTATGTGTGTGTATCTCTATCTCTCTATGTCTGTCTGTCTACCTATCTATCATCTATGTATCTATATATCTATCTTTAAAGTTCTTTTATAAGGATGGCAGTTTTTAATTTGAGTACCTGACACTCTTCTATATCTCGGTGGATTGTAGATCTCAAAAATAAGTTATTAAATTGCCTTGAATTGACCTGAGATTCCCATAATAATTAGCTTCACTGGGATGCCTCGTGAACAGCATAGAAATAGAAGTTGGACATAGTCTACATCCTAGCTTAAACAGACTTGCCTCCTATAATCTTGAAATGTGCCACCTGTGGGAACATTCTAGATGGACTGATAGAGACATAGTGACACCCCCCCACCCCCGTATTGTAGAACATATTTCTGGGAACATCGAAATACATGTGGAGTAATAGGGGGAAAAATGTAGTACCTGGTGGCATAGTGGCCAAGAAGCTGCGCTGCAATCCCGAAGGCATTCAGTTCAAGGCCACCAATAGCTCTGCAGGAGAAAGATGGGCAATTTCCTCCCATCTGAGTAACTGCCTCTGAAAATCCACCAGAGGGTCAGTTCTGACTCTACAGTACACAACAACAGGATTTATTTCTAGGTTTCTAGGACTGAGATGATTCAATAAGGAACCTTTCAGTTCCTCACATTTTTCAGTCACTGTCCTTTGGTGGCCCCTCCCCAGCACAGGGCTGTTGGCCATCTCCGTGGGAACCTCAGGCTCAAGGGCTTCGGCTGTGGTCCTTTTGCACTTGCTCCTCCTGTAGGAGGCCTGGCTATGACACAGTCCACTACACCTGTCCCTGTGGTGGTGGTAGGGTTTTTTAACTCTTTTTTAAATTATTATTTATTTCAATGAAAATTTACAGCGACTTTGAATTTCCAGTCATTCATTGTGCACTTTTCTCCCCTCCCAACCCTCGCCCTGTGTTCTGTAGTCTCCAGTGACTAGGAACACCAGCAGCAACCCTCTAACCTAAGTCCTTAAAGCTGGTTTGCATTCCCTGGGTCAACTTGCATGTACTCAATCTCTCAAGCTCTTTCTATGTGTTAAGCATTGCTCTAAGTGCTCTGAGTACTACAAAGAACAAGACAAATGTCCTTGCTCTCGGAGAGCTTTAACAGGTTAATCAAAGATGCAGACATTAACCGCACCCCATCCCAGTTTCACATTCACAACCATTTAATAATATATTGAACGTACAGTAGACTTGATTTGATGGGATTTGCTTTGGAAGGTAATGCTTAATTTTGATAAATACATCTTGAAACCATAAAGATGATCTTGGGTTCAAATGATGGGAAGAAAATGTGCTTTACTACCGGTTGTGGCCTGAGAGAGAAGGGAGAGAAGAGCCCCAGAGTAAAAGGAGAGGAAGGCAGCTGTTAGAGGACCTTTGAGACAGAGACTCTTGGGAGGTAAAGAACAGAGGGAAACTTCTTGAGAGAAAGAATTTGTAAACTAGAGATATGGCTTTGAGTCACCTACTAGTGTCCATGGTCCTTCGCTATTTCTTCTTTCATCACCTACACTGGTGATTTTTGGATCCATATCTCTTGCTCTTCACATGTTGGTTGGGCAAAAGAGTAACTACATTTTCCCACCAAAATGTAATGTGACAACTGTGAAGAGCATGGCATATGACAAAGGAATGTCAGCTTCTCTTAAGACACATTGGTGGAGCATACTACACATCTGGAAGAAGCTTCCAGTTACCAAGGTCAGTGCAACACAGCTGTGCATGCAAGTGCAGAGGTGCGTGGTGAGGGTGTTGACCTTCTGAAGAGAAAGAGCCATTCATAGTTTGTTGATTAATTAGTAATGTCACCTTTACAATCATATCCCATTTCACTTCATATTTACTTTGCAGAAGAACATTTAAAAAATTTCCTAGGGATATTATACCTATTGATAAAGTATATAAAGTGGATATTTAATATATTATCATAAATTTAAATACAAAAATGAATATTAGAAACTATTATTTTGTATTAAAATTTATACATTATTTGAAAATATATTTGTATTCAATAATTTTTATATATAATCTTTTCAAATTTAATCTGAATCTAAAAGCTGTTTATCAAGAATGTTAAGCTTTTAAGGGAAAATGTGTAAAAATTATATAGGAAATACACTTAAATGATAAGCTACAACATATAATGTGTTACCCTTTAAAAATGCATATATTCATTCATTCTGAAATGTTGCCTAATGCTTATTTACTGTGTGGAAGGCACTCAGCTTGGTACTATGGATAGAAAGTTGAATAAGGCACAGTCTTGCTTTCAAGGAGCTTACAGATTAGTCAAGATTTTCAAATTGCTGCGTACCAAAGGATCTAAAAGTAATTTCTAACGTGAAGAGGAGTGAATACTTTTTGCTGTAAGTGTTAGTTTAGTTGTCTTTGCAAAGGCTTCTTTCTTTTCATAATATGCTGCTTCATTTACAAACACTGGGTACACGGTACAGTCTCCATTCAATGAAATAGTCTTTCCATCAAGAGTTAAAAACACAGGAGCCCCTGGATGCAATGGCTTCCAGTCTTGATCCTTTCACAAAAAAAGAATAAATAAATTACTTTGGGGTTTCCTCTCACAATTTTAAAAAATTTATGTAAGGCTCTAGACAACTAAGAAATGATAACATTCTGGTCTCTTAAGACACTTGAGAGATGTGTTGGGAGGCATATGAGTGATATGACTGAAATTGTGTAATTTCGACAGCATTCTAAAAAGAGCTCCTTTTATAATTGTTATAACTGGCACACATAATTAGAGTATGCTTCAGTGCCTGGTTTGTCTTGTATGTTGCCAAAGAAATTTTAATATAAAAGGCAAAGCTAAATACATGTCCCATTAGATTTCGCCTCTTACTATTAGGAGCTAAATTCTGTTCCATAAAATATAGCAAATATTGATTAAGATCTGTCTGTGTGCAGATATTCTTTTATGGGTTGGAGTGAGCTGGAAAAAAGGCTAAGACAGAGTGGATCCTTTCCATATGTGTTCCCCAGCTGGGTTCTCTGCAAAGCTCACACCAGAGATTTGAGCCTTCAAACATCAATGTTGTCAGACTACAGGAAACCCTAGGACAGTTATCAGACTTTGAGGTACTTGCAAATAATCTGGGGAAGTGTGTGTGTGTGTGAGAATGCAAGTTCTTATTCTATAGTTTGGAATAGGGACTTAGAGTCTTAATTTCTAATGTATCTCTGTAGCTTCAATCAACATCATCTGCAGATTCCCACTGTGTGGTGTGTGCAGTCAAGTCACAATCGACCCATAGCCGACCTTCTAACACATTTTCAGAGACAGGAAATTGTACATTTCCTGGAGCAGCTGAAAACCAACATTTAAAAAAAAATAAAATTTTAAAATATTAGAGTAAAAAGTGTTCTCTTAACCTATAAGGACAACTCAAAGAGTTCTCTTTGCCAAAGGTGAAATTCTTTGCTTGAGACAATTCTGACCTTGTTATCAAAAATAACCTTTTCAAGGCTAGGAAGGGAAACTTTTAAACACCATATCAAAGGAAAATTAAATGAGAAAATAGCAAATTCTATGATCCACAAAACAGGAAAAATCTGTGATCCATGGCAAACCTAGCAATAATTTAAAGTTTAAAACAGTTAAGTTTTTCCTCTTATTTCTGAAATAGTCATCTTTGACATATATCAGAAGGTCTTAGTATTTTGTTATTAAAAAAGGGGAATGATTCCCAGTGATAGATGGTAGGGTGGGGAGGCTACTATCAGCAAGAATTTTCAACTTTATAAGGAGGTCTTCCTCAAAATTTTACTTGTAGGTTTAGAAGATAAAAGACTCCAGCCTGATTCATAAGAACTCTGGTGGCCTAGTGGTAAAGAGTTGCACTGCCAACTCAAAGGCTGGCAGTTTCAACCTTGATTTACAGCCTCTGAAAATCCACTAGAGGGTCAACTGTGTATGAATTGATCCCTCTTCAGTGACACATTTCAAGTTTGCTCCATTCTCAGGACCTTTGCGTTGGTTCTCAACAAGTCCTTGTGGAGGAGCTTATAGTTTACCTTAGGAGTCTGGTCTCTCCAGCTAGGAGCCTTGTTCCTTAAATTCACAAACATCTATGAAACTTTAAGCTGCAGGGAGATGTGTTGAGAGGCATATGGGTGATTTGATGAAATGGAAATTTCTTGAGAAATGTTGTCATTGTTATGTGCCTTTGAGTCTACTACAAATAGCAACCCTATGAACAATAGGTTGGAGGCAAGGATTCTGAGGCTTCGTCTGACATACTTTGGAGATGTTGTAAGAAGGGACAGGTCCTTGGAGAAGGACATCATGCTTGGGAGGGTGGAGGGACAGCACAAGAGGGGAAAGCCCTCTATGAGGTGGATTGATTCAGTGACTGGGTTAATCGGGATGGAAGTGTCAGAGACAGTGCAATTGGCACAGGACAGAGCAGAGTTTAGGGCTGTTGTACATAGGGTCGCTATGAGTCGCAGGCGACTCGACGGCCCTTAACAACAACATGAACAATAGATCAGAAACCTGATCCTGCATCATCCTAACCATCTCTGAAATACTTGAGCCCATTGTTACAGCCATGGTCTCCATCCCTCTTGTTGAGAGTCCTCCTCTCTTTTACCTAACCTCTACCTTTCCCAGAATAATGTCTGTCTCCAAGGACTGCTCCCTCCTGACGATATGCCTGAGGTTTGTGAGATGGATTTTCATCCTTGCCTCTAAGGAGCACCCTGGTTGCACTTCTTCTGAGACAGATTGTTTGTTCTTTTGACAGTACATGGAATATTTGGTACTTTCCTCCAACAACACAATTCAAAGGCATAAATTTTTTTGGTCATCCTTATTCATTGTCCAATATTCAGATGCGTAGGAAGCAGATACTATGGCTTGCATTAGATACACTCTAGTCTTTAAATTGACATCTTTGCTCTTCAGAAGTTTGGAGAGGGCCTCAACAGCAGGTTTTCCCAATGTAATTGGTCTTTTTATGTCTTGATTGCTGCTACTATTGGTGTTGATTGTGAATTCAAGTAAAACGAAATCATTGACAACTTCAGTCTTTTCTCCATCTATCATGATGTCACCTATTAGTCTAATGGTGAGGATTTTTGTCTTCTTGATGTTGATATGTAATTCTTATTTAAGGCTGTAGGTTTTTTTATCTTCTGCACTAAATGCTTCAATCCTTCAGTTTCTGCAAGCAAAGTGTGACATCTATGTAATGCGATTAGTTGATGAGTCTTTCTTCACTCTTAATGTTACATTCTTCTTTATGCAGTGTTGTTGTTGTTCTGTGCCATCAAGTCACTTGTAACTCACAGCGACCCTATTTATAACAGCCCTATACTTTGCTGTGTCCTGTGGCAATCACACTGTATCTGACACTCCCATCCCAATTACCCCAGTCACTGAATCAATCCACTTCATAGAGGGCCTTCCTCTCCTGTGCTGTCCCTCCACCCTCCCAAGCATGATGTCCTTCTCCAAGGACATGTCCCTCCTTACAACATATCCAAAGTATATCAGATGAAGCCTCAGAATCCTTGACTCCAAGGAGTTGCCTGGTTTAACCCTCTCCACGAAGAACCTGTTTGTTTTCTTAGCAGTTCATGGTACATTCAATACTCTTCTCTAGCACCACGGCTCAAAGGCATCAATTCTCCTTCTATCCTCCTTAGTTATTGTCCAACTCTCTGATACATAATAAGTGATTGCAAAGACCATGGCCTGTATCAGATGCACCTTAGTCTCCAGCGAGACACCATTGCTCTTCAGTGCTTTGGAGAGGTCCCTAACAGCAGATTCTTAATTATTTGCTCAGCATACAGATTTAACAAGTATGTAGAAAGTGTAGAACCTTGATGTAGAACACTTATTTTAAAACATGAAGTGTTTGTTTATCCTGGTTGGACAACAGATTTTTGGTCTATAGTTTCATAAGAGCACAACTAAGTGTTTTGGAATTCCTATTCTTCTCAAAGTTATCCATAATTTATTATGATACACACAGTCAAATGTCTTGGCATAGTCAATATAACAGAAGAAAACATCTCTCTAGTATTCTCTGCTTTTAGCCAATATCCTTCTGACATCAGTAATGATATTTCTTGTTCCACAGTCTTTGCTGAATCCAGGTTGAATTTCTGGTAGTTCTCTGTGGATGTACTATTCCAGGCATTTAAAAATAATCTCTAGCAATATTTTACTTACATGTAATATCATAATGTTCAATAATTTCTATACTCTGTTGGATCAACTTTTTTTTTATAATTTTATTTATTTATTTTATGTGTGTACCATCAAATTGGATCTGACTGGTACAGGAGGCGATTGTTCCTCCTTCTTCAGCAAAGCATCTGGTGGATTTGAACCGCGCACCTCAGGGATTGCTGTGCAGTTTCCTGCCACTAGGCCACCAGAGCTCGCCTGGATCAACTTTTTTGGGAATGTGAACAAATATGGAGTTCTTCCAATCAGTTGATCAGGTGTTGTCTTCCGTATTTCTTGGCATAGACTAGTGAGCATGTTTAAGGCTGCATCTGTTTGTTGAAACACCTCAGTTACATCAATGGACTACACAGAAATCAGATTGCCTATATCTGTGGAAAGAGTTGATGGAGAAGTTCAACATCAAGAGTCAAAACAAGGCTATGGCCTGACTGTGAATAATCATTAATTACTCACATCTAAGTTCAAACTGAAGTTGAAGGAAATTATATCAAGCTATGAGAGTGAAAATATGACCTTGAGTTTACTGCACCTGAATTTTTTTAAAAATCTCAAGAATAGATATGGTGTACTGAACCTTAATAACGGATGACCAGATAAATTGTTGCATGACATCAGGTATATCATTAATGATGAAAACAAAAAGTCATTACAAAGACAGGAAAGAAAGAGAAGCCAAAATGGGTGGTTGTCAGGGTAGACTGAAATTTGCACTAGAACATAAGCCAAAACAAAGGGAAGATATGCTTAAGTAAGAGGAATGAACAGAAGATTTCAAAGGGCAGCTCAAAAATACAAAGTAAAATATAATAAAATGTGCAAAGAACTGGTGCTAGAAAACCAAAAAGGAAGGACACTGGAAATTTCTTAAACGGAAAGAACTGAAGAACAAATTCAAGCTTTAAGTTTTAGTACTGAAGGATTCTATGGGCATAATACTTAATGATGTAAGAAGCATTAAAAGAAGATGGAAGGAATATACAGAGTTGTTCTTTCAAAAAGAATTGCTAGAGACTGGAGAGAATTATGCTGAGCAAACTAACTCAATCTCATAAGGACAAATACTACATAAGACTATTACTGTAAAATTAGAAGGATAACTAGTAAAACATGTATGGGGACCCAAGGAAAGAAGAGGTGGGTATGGAGGGGTGAGTGTGGAGAGGGGTGAAATCACAAGTTTGCATAATTTAGTGGGTGAATGGAAGAGGTGAAGGAAATAGGAAAGATCCAGAGGAGACCTGAAAAGACAAGGTAATGATGGGCATAGTCCAATGGTGATTAATTTTATGAAACATAATGCTTGGGAATGATTGTATGAAACACAATGTGAATGAAGAATAGTGTTAAACACAATGTATATGAACTTTGTAAGCAAACCAATATAAAATAAAATTATTTTTTAAAAAGGTTTGCTTAACATGCAACCATTTCAGTAAGTACCACATGATTAAGAACCAATGGTGATTAAGGAAGAAGTTCATGTTACCCGGAAGGCATTGCCAAAAAAAAATAATCCTTCATTAATTCATGGAATACCAATTGAGGTGTTTTCAACAAACAGATGTAGCCCAGAATATTTTTGCTAGCTTTAAGAAATAAAAAAACGAAAAAAAAAAATTCCCAAATGTTGTAACCTGCTAAATGGTATTGTCAGATTGGCCTGCTTCTTACACTATTATTCCCCCCTTCTCTATCTCCTTCAATATTATTACCGTCTAGGATATTACCGAAGATCACTTCTTCAGGACTTCACCTGGATTCCACTAAGTCACAATGTAGTCTTGTCCTACCAGTCTGCCTTGTTGAGCAAGACATTATTAACTTCCTAGGCCTATTTTGACTTGTCAGTATGCAGATTTTAATCTCCTTGAGGATTGTGCCATGGTCAAATTTGTCTTCTTACATTGAACTTGGCATATATTTTGTACAAGGAAATGACTTGCTTATAAGGCAATAGTCTAATAGGCAGAGCTGAAGAAGCTCTCATGACTTTTTTCTAAGTCTCTGGATAGCTATTCTTGAAATGTAATCCAATTATAAACACTTCTCCAGAAAGTGATTCTCAACTTTAATGTCTTCCTCTTTGGCTACATCAGCTTTTACTCTTGTGTATGGGAACTGCAACAAGTATGTTGTTGTTGCTGTATGCTGTCAAGTCAAATTGATGCATGGTTGACTCTCTAGAGGATTGTCAGTCTGTAAATTGCATAGGAGGAGTTTGGTCATTTTTCTCCAGGAAGCAGCTGGTGGATTTGAACCATGTGTTTTTGAATAGGCAGCACTGTTCACCCTAAGGTCATTGGATGGTGAGGATATGATGAATGACAGTGTCTACAAGAGGAGCAGTCTGTGACCTAAATCTTCATGAAGATTGGTAAATTTAAGGAGTAATGGTCTCAGGTGGAAAGAATAGACACTAAAGGTGTACTGTGGAGTCTGTTGGAATGGTAAAGGATGGATGGAAGTATTATAATTCCCATTTAGTAACAATATGCTTGGTAATGGCTTATAATAGTACTAACACTCCTCTCCAGACTGCTGCTGGTGCAAATCAGGACAACTGGCAGAGTGTCTATAAGATATAATAAAAAGAAATGAGATTGTGACATTGAGAAATATGAAGTATATTTTAGCTTCTTAGAATCTTTCCTCCTCCTTTCTTTTGATTTTCTCAGACCTGAATTTTCTGTACCCTCCCCAAAGACAAGGCTTTTTTTCTTCTTTCACCATGTCAATAAGAAATGAGGTAATCAAACTAAAAAAGTGATAGTAATTGAGGAATAGATAAGGGGAATCAGTGAATGATGGCAGGAAAAAAAGTCTTGATTTATTTATTTTTATTTTATCTTATTCTGGGAGATAAATGGGGAGTTAATAATAATCTGATCAAACTTCAGAGAACACTCATTTTGAGTCCACCATTGTGGGAAAGATATACCTTCTCAACTTGAAGTTTTCTTAGAATAAATAGATATTATGTAATTATCCTGGAGTGTGGAAATCATTGAACAATATCACATGTAAGCAAAATCTTCCTGAAGATTATCCAAAAAAATGGCTGGAACAGTATATCAACAGAAAACTGCCAGAAATACAAGTAGGCTGTGGTTCTAGCAATATCATTGCTGATGTCAGATGGATCTTTGCTGACAGCAGAAAGTATCAGAAGGATGTCTATTTGTGTCTTATCAATGATGTAAAGGCATTTTTGTCTGTGTGAATCACAACAAATTGTGGCCCATGTTGAGAAGAATGGGAATCCCAGAACACTTAATTGTAGTCATGCAAAACCAACCTGTACTTAGACCAGGAAGCTGTTGTCTGAACAGAGTAAGGAAACACTGCATAACTCAAAATCAAGAAAGGAATGTGTAAGGGATGCATCTTTTCTCCAATCCTTTTCAATCTATATGTGGAACAGATAAGCTGGAAAACTCGACTTTATGAAGAAGTGTGTGGCATTAGGATTAGAGGAAGACTTATCAACAATCTGCATTTTGTACATGATACCACCTTGCTTGTTGAAATTCGGGAGGACTTGAAGCATTTGCTGCAGAAGGTCAAGGACTGTTGTCATTGCTAAGTGACACTGAGGAATATGACTCATAGTGACCCTATGAACAACAGATCTAAACCTTGACCTACCTTGTGCCATTCTCACGCTTCCTGACATATGAGAGTCCATGGTGGCAATCACCGTGTCAATCCACCTGGTCGAAGGTTCTCCTCTCCTTCACCAACCCTCTGCCTTTCCAGGGATTGTGGCCCTCTCCAAGGAGTAGCCCCTCTTAGTATCATGCCCGATGTTTGTGAGGAGAAGCCTCATCATCCTTGCCTCAAAAAAATATTCTGGCTGCACTCTCTCCAAGAAATATTAGCTAATTCTTTGGGCAAGGACTGCAGCCTTCAGTACTGATTGAAGCTCAACATCAAGAAAACACATATCCTCATCACTGAGCCAATTGGCAGTATCATGATAGATGGAGAAAAAAATCGAGGATGTTAACAATTTCATCTTGCTCATATCCACAGTCAACATTCTTGCCACCACTAGTCAAAAGATGAGTTGGGAAAGTGTGCTGTCAGGGACTTCTCCAGAGTGCTAAAGAGCAATGATATCAGTCTAGAGACTAAGGTATACCTAAACCAGGACTTCGTCTTCTTAATTGCTTGCTATGCATCTGAGAGCTGGACAGTGACTAAAGATGACGGAAGAAAAATCGAAGCCTTTGACTCGTGGTACTGGAAAAGAGTATTGAACACACCATGCACCAAGAGAATAAATGTGTCTGTCCTAGAGAGGGTAAAACCAACCTGCTCACTGAAGGCAAGGATTTTGACACTCTGTATTATATACTTCTAGTATGTTGCCAGAAGGGATCAGTCCTCACAGAAAGACATAATGCTTGGAAAGGTAGAAGGTCAGCACAGGATAGGAAGACCCTGGATGAGATGGATTGATACAGTGACTGTGGTGATGGGGGTCTGGTGTGTCAGAGATGATGAGGTTGTCTCAGAAAAGGGTAAGTAAGCTTCAGAGTCATTGTTCATAGGGTAACTAAGAGTCAAAGTCAACCTGATGACATAACAAACAACAAGGATTTCTCCTTCTGTGAGAGGTCTTGTTTGCTTATTTGCTCTCCCCCATGTCTTTGTTATCTTCCTCTCTATACTATAGCTTGTTGTTGTTGTTGTTATGTGCCATTGTGTTGTTTGCGACTCATAGTGACCCTATGTACAAGAGCTCTAAACGCTGTTCTATCCTGTGCCAACCTAGCCATCTCAAATGCACTCATTCCCACCACACCAGTCACAGAATCGATCCATCTCATTGAAGATCTTCCTCTCCTTCGCTGCCCCTCCACTCTCCCAAACATGATGTCCCTCTCCAAGGACCAGTCCCTCCTTGCAACATGCCCAAAGTATGTCAGACGAAGCTTCAGAATCCTTGACTCCAAGGAGCATTCCAGCTTCACCTTCTTCAGGACAAACCTGTTTGTTCTCCTAGCAGTCCATGGTATAGTCAACGCTTAGCCTTTAGCATATGTAAGTTATAAGTTCCGTAAAAATACAAATCACTCTCATTGCTGTGTCTCCAAGAGGATATTCTCAATAAATATTTATCGAGTGAAGGTCTGAATACGTGACAGTCTGAAAACACCACAATATTAAATGAGCTACTGTAAGTATGTAGGGAGCTCTGGTGGCTCAGTGGTAATGAATTGTATTGCCAACCCAAAGGCATGTGGTTTGAATCCACCAACTGCTCTGCATGAGATAGAACCCTCTGGAGGGTCAGCTATAGGTTGGTTACAACTTGATGGTATACAAGAGCAATGAGGACAGTCCAATGCTTTATAAACGGTAAAGATTTATACAGTATCTTAAAGAAATTGCAAATATTACCTGTAAATTAGGATGGATAAAAGCAGTAATTTCTCCACTTTCATTCCTGGGATAATCAACTTTCTCTATTATTTTATACACCTCAATTGCACAGGAAGGAAATTCTTTTCCTATGGGGGGGGGAATAGCAGTTTAAAAAAGTTCTGAAAAAGAAAGTTTGTACTTTAAAAAGCATAAACTGCCCCTTTCCTCCGTGCCCCTCCCCCCCCAACATGCAACATTTAATTAGGGATGTTTAAAAATAATACTGAGCCAAAAGGTGCCAAATAAATTCTATGGGTAACTGTCAACAGATATGTGTATAGACAGAAATACAAAACCAGAATTTAAAATGGCAGGGTGGGATAAAGAGCGCAGGACTGGGTATAGGGACTATTGAATTCTACGCTCCTATCTGTATGATCTTGAACAGGATGCCTAACTTCTTGATGCTCACTTTATCTGTCAAGGAAGGTTTTAGATTACCTTATCTAGGAAGGCCCCCTCAGTTTTGATATTCTTTGATATTCTTTGTGCAATTTCAGGAGGATTTCCAGTAAGTTAAGTGACACCAGCATAGTGCTATTTCTCTTTAAACTCTCCTCACTCACATTGCCATGAAGTTGGAACTGACTCACAGCTGACTTTCCAGTGGATTTTGGGAGAGTGCTTAACTTTCTTAAGTACCTCAAACACCTGGACTCTTCCTGAGCAGTGAGATCTTGGGATGTAGGTAGTCTGCCAGCAGAGGAGCCTGACTTTGAAAGATGTAACAACACTAAATGTGACATTAAGAAATTTGGAAAAAGAGCAGTTTCCTTTTATATCAGGTAGTTACTGAGAAAATAAGTTGAACTTTGACCACCATGAGGCCTAGTGTTTTATGGTCCCAACCCTTGACCCTTAAAGCAGAAAGCTGTTAGCTTGAATGACGATATTCCTCAATACCTTCAGCTAGTTTTTGCTGAAGGACTTTTTACATCTTGCTTTAGGACTTCATCACTGAATCATTGCTGTCAAATCCTAAGCACCTCATGGTTGACCCTCCATTGAATTTCTGGGGCTGTAAATCCCATGAGAAGAGACTGTCCATATCTCTGCCTTGGAGCTGGAGGTAGATTTAGGATTTTAGTGGCTTAATTTTGCCACTCTTTAATTTAGCTCAAGATCCTATGGGTTGCGTAGATAGTTCTGCTGGTCTGGGCCTCTCTCTTTCATTGCTGCAAAGTAAGAACTGACTCATAGTTGACCATCCATTGGGTTTCTGAGACTGAAAATTGGCAGGGGAGGAATTTTTCTATTTTTCTTGATTAATCTTAATACTTGATTAATATCCATATAATCCTGGCCAATTGATCTTCTTACACTGCTTGAAAAAACCTCACAAAGTGTGGTTCATTCCATTGTTGATCACTTTTGTAAACTGGCATCTTGTGCCTCTAGGGAATTTTATCCCATGAATACTTTTTTAACTTCTGGGACACAGGAAATACGACTAATAGATTTTCTAGAAAACATTTCTGGTGTTTTATAAAAAGTCTGAAATAAAATTGCCCTTAAGCCATCCTTTTGCCAATTCAAATACCCTCAACCCTATCAAGCATTATTCATATACGGTCAGTAAATGGGGAGGTATATGAAGGTACTTCGTGAACGGTGAAGGTCTATGTATATCTTAGAGATGACTTTTATTCTTTTCAAGTCAATCGCTGTTCACAACTCTCTTAAGCTTCAGCTCTACTTGATAAACACCCCTTCTGAAATTAAAGTTTAAAATTTATTTACAGTTCTGCAGAATTTACCCAAGGTCGAGAAGACCATCTCCTTTGAGATTTTTTTTAAAAAAATGCAAGAGTTGAACATTATCTTGGCATATTTAACTTTAAACATTTAGACAATTGTTAACAAACAATTCTCAGAATATTTTGGATCCACCATTTTAACCACAATATTTTCCTCCTAGTGTTCTGCCAACTGTCACTTGGATAATCAATTAATATCTATTTTTATTCAGGTTACTGGCAAGAATTTTGAGTAACACAGAGTCAAGCATAGATTCCTCCTGCAAATCTCTGGAGATGTATCTCCAGCAGGCTATCTTATGTTTGTTAATGCTCTTTGAGTAATGATGCTGAGTTAAAACCCCAACAAATTAGGCGGTCAACCAAGCCTTCAAAGTAATACTCAACTTCAGCTCAAATGGATTTCTGTCAAGTTGGAACTAACTCATAACTGACCCTCCAGGGTTTTGGGGGGACTGCATGAAGGAGAGTACCCATCCTCCTTTTCTGTAGGGACTGATAGATTCCTCCCCTCCTTTATATCGGTTTGCTTACAAGAAGCTGGTGGATTTGAAACACCAGAAAATCATTGCACAATGTCCTATGGAATCAGAGCTCCCTTCTAAATGAATAGTGGTTTGAAATGTTTGAATTGAAGAATACTTTTCTTAAATGAATATTACATGGAAGAACACTAAAGCAGATAATAAAACCTGCCCTGGTTGAAGCAGAAGTGGTGGTGGTGGTGGTGGTGTGTCCTAGATCTGTTATTTCCTACTCTGTATTAGGAAGCTGTGTGATATGACATGAAAACTACATTTCTCTGCTCAGTCTTGTGACTTCATAAGAGCACACAGTTTCTTAGCACATTTTTGTTCAGCTAAATACTAGTCAAAATGCTTAATCAGAATATAATGTGATCTTTCCAACATGAGTCCCACTAGAAAGTTTAGAACTGATTCTGAGATGGAGGTGGTAGAAAGTTAATTTTTAGTTGCTATGACTTTGGAATGAAAGAATCACCAAACACAGACAAAATTCCCATGATTGCAGTATACAGTATGAGGCTGAGTTTCTCACAGACATTGACATAACTCTGCCACTGGAATGACTCAATAACAATTTTTAAGTCAGTGTGTTGGACCAATAATTTCCATAGTGTCACCTTGATTATTTAGAATTTTTTTGTTCTTCTTCAGTTGTGTTTTTTATTTTTACTATTAAACCAAATTTCTCTACCTCTTGAGTTATGCAACTGAACTTTAGAAGATAAAGTGCTTCATATAAAGTTGAAGGGATTTTTTTTTGGGGCTAAGTAGTTATTTTTTAAACATGGGGAGTAAGTGTAATCCAACAAATTATTTTCTCTCAGCTTGTTCACATATGCAATTGAGGAACAATCCTGTACTAAATTGAATGTACTCCCAAATCCAGCAAGAGTCTGGCGGGGAAATGCATAAATTATTCTTCTTCACATTCCTCAGAGATTTTAATTCCCACAGCTCAATTATAATTAGAAAGAATCTTCATCATGAGTTTTTTAAAAATAATAATGTATTATGTTTTTTCAAGAGAGGAAGCCTCTGGATGAGATGAATTGCTACAGTAACTAGGGCAATGAGGGTAGATGTGTCGGAGTTAATGAGACTGGCTCAGGACAGGGAAGGCTTCAGAGCTATTATACATAGAGTCACTGTGAGTCTCAGGCAACTTGATGGCACATAATGACAACAACAACAACAACATTATTTTGCAGGTGAAAGCTTACATAGAAAAATAGGTTCCCATTGGATAAAATTTCGATAATGTACCATCATTCTCATTTTTCCATTCTGCATGTTCTGTTCTGCTTTTCTTTATTTAGCTTCCCTTCCCCTTCTTGGCTTCTCATCTCTGCTTTTGGCTAAGTATGGACAGTTTAGTCTCATATAGTTGATTGTTCAAGTGAATACATTATTCATGGATAATACTGTTTATAAGCCAATCTATCATTTGACTGAAAGATAACCTTCAGACTCTGTTTTAATTCTTTGTTTAAATGGTATAGAAGGATATAATCTTGGGTATTTCTACTTAAAAACCTCCAACTATCAATCTCGTAGGTCTTTTATTTTTTAGGAGTTTGAATTTTATTTGCACACGTCCACTGTGCAAAGACACTTGACTGTGTGGGTTATAATAAATCATGGGAAGCATTAAGAATGGGAACTACAGAATATTTAGTTATGTACATGTAGAACTTGTACATAGACCAAGAAACAGTCTTCTGAACAGCAGAGGGAAATACTGGATGGCTTAGAACCAGGAAAAATGTTTGTTAAGGTTGTACCCTTTCACTATGCCTGTTCAACCTGTAGGGAACTCTGGTGACTGAGTGTGTAAGGAGTTGTGCTGTCAACGCAGAGGCAAGTGGTTTGAATCCAACAGCTGCTCGTGAAAAAAAAGTGGGACATCTCTTCCCATGCAATTGACAGGCTCTGAAAACCCATTGAGGATCAGCTATGAATCGGTTCTGACTTGATGTCAGAGGTTTTTTATTCAATCTGTATGCTGAGTAAATAATCTGAGAAGGTAGACTATATGAAGAAGAATATGGCATCATGATTGGAGGAAGAGTCACCAACAGCCTTCAGTACACAGAGAACATGACTTTCCTTGCTGAAAGTGAAGACAACGTGAAGTACTTATTGAAGAAGGTCAAGTACTGTGAACTTCAACCTAAAGAAAACGAAAATATTCACAACTGGACCAATAATCAATATTATGATAAATGGAGAAAATAATGAAGTTGTCAAGGAGTGCTGAAAGAGCAAAGAAATGGGTCTCAGAAGAGGTGCGGCCCGCGTGCTCCTGAGAGGCGAGGATGGCAGGATTTCACCTCACAGACATTGAGCATGTTGTCAGGAGGGGCCAGTCTCTAGAAAAGGACATCACTCTTGGAAATGTGGAGGGTCAGTGAGAGAGAGGGAGACCTTGAGTGAGATGAATTGACAGAGTGACCACAACAAAGGGTTTTAGTGGCAATTATGAGGACAGTAAAGGATCAGGCAGCTTCTTTTTGTTGTGCAAAGGGTCACTCTTAGTCAAGCCAAGCTGACACACTTAACAACAATCTTATCTTCTAGGAACTTTACAGTTTTAATTTTGACATTTAGGTCTTTGATCCACTTTGACAGCTTTTGTGTACAGTATGAAGTATGAGTTCTGTTTCATTTTTCTTCAGTTATCCAATTTCAGCAGCAACATTTATTAAGGATACCATCTCTTTGTCGCAGCATGGTCTCTGACCCTTTGTGGAAGACCAGCTGTCCTTAGATGAGTGGCTTTATTTCCGGTTTTTCTTTCTTTATGTTGGTTTATGTGTCTGTCCTGAAACCAGCACCAAGCTATTTTGATAACTATGGCTATGTGGTCAACAAGCGTGGTATCTCTTTGTTTTCCTTCAATATCGTTTTAGCTCTTTGAAGCCGTTTCAACAAATTTGGAGGTTAGTTTTTTTATATCACTTAAGAATGTTAATGGAATTTGCATCAAGATTGCATTGTATCTATAGATCAGTTTGGTAGTATTACAATTTTCCCAATGCCCAGCCTTTTAATCTATGAGCATATGGGAAGATTTCCCATGTTGTATATCTCTTTTAGGTTTCTACAGCTGTGTTTTATAATTTTGCTTGTATTAATCGTTCACATCCTTGGTTTAATTTATTCCCAATTATTTTATCCTTTTAGGCTATTCAAGGATGGTAGTCTTCAATATGGATTGAAGGTTGTTAAAAATTACAGCTTACTCAGCTCCACAATCAATACTCTTGGCAACAACAGTCAGGAAATCAAAAGATGAATTGCATTAGGTAAATCTGCTGTCAGGGACCACTCCAGAGTACTGAGAAGCAATGATGTCCCTCTAGAGACTAAGGTGTGCCTGATCCAGGCCATGGTCTTCACAATTACTTGCTATGCATCAGACAACTGGACAGTGACTAAGGATGGCAGAAGAGGAATTGATGCCTTTGAGTTGTGGGTGCTGGAGAAGAGTCTTGAACATACCATGGACTGCCAAGAAAACAAATAGGTCTGTCTTGGAGAGAGTGAAGTCAAGTTTCTCCTTGGAGGATAAGACTTTGAGGTTCTGTCTCATATACTTTGGGCATATGTCCAGGAGCGACCAGTCCTTGGCGAAGGACATCATGATCAGAAGGGTGGAGGGACAGCTCAGGAGACGAAGGCCCCAGATGAGATGAATTTGTGCTAGTGAGACTGGCTCAGGGCAGGGCAGGCTTCAGAGCTGTTATATGTAGGGTCACTGTGAGTTTCAGGTGACTCGACAGCATATAACAACAACAGTGTTTCCTTGAGTTTCTTTTCAGAGTTCTCTTTATTAGTATAATCAAACTGTTTTTTGTGTGTACAATGATTTCTTAATTAAACAATATACAAATGTATTCTTTTATAAAAATAAAGAAAACAAAATTAGACTGGTTTGTTCCTCTTTTTCCTAGTAATCACTGTTATAACCTTGAAGTATTTTTTCCAAAACTTTGTATATGTATTAACAAACTATATATACATGTGTCCTAGTAATTATTTTTAAAATGTTATTACTAGTATTTAAAAACAAATACATATTTTGTTTTGTACATGAATTTCTTTCAATTAGTAATAGATTTTCTTTTTTTTTTTTTTTTAGGGTAAATAGTAATGATAGATTTATTAGAAAGTTACATCCCCAGTGGGACTGACCTTCCTGCTTGAAAGGAGATAAAGGAGAAAAGGCCCTAAGTAGTTTTGAAGATTGTTTCATGTTTATTTATCTGGGTGTTTCCTGGTTGATGGATGCTGAGATCGTTCCCATTGTCCTTTCTCTTAAAAACAATCCTAAAACAACCATGCTTGCACGTAACACAATGGTTGTGTTTGTGTTTCTCTGCAATGTGGAACTGCTGGATTCTAGGATTTGTGCATTAAAAGAGTGAATACTACGCAAAATTACTCTCTAAAACGTTTTTAAGGAACCCTGGTGGCACAACGGGTAAGCACTCTGCTGCCAATGAAAATGTTGGCAGTTTGAACTGCTGCTTTGCAACAGATGAGGCATGGTGATCTCATGATTTACTGTCTGGAAAACCCTGGGGAGCAGTTCTATCCTCTCCACATAGGGTTGTTATGAGTCAGAACCACTCAATAGCTCACAGCAAGCAAAGTGTCTATAGCACTTCATGTTTCTACCATCGTAGAAGAAATCTGTCCTGTTTGCCTACATCATCACTGACCTTAATAATATTAGATTTTAATATTTTCTCAGTGTAAAGGAGCCTTGGCAGCATAGTGCATTTTGTCGTGTTGGGCTATTAATCTGAGGATTGGCCCTTTGAGTCCTCGACTCTGTGTTAGAAAGATGGATGGTTTCCTCCTACAAAGAATTTATAGCCTCAGAAACCCAGTGAGTTGATGGGAGTGGGATTGTTTTGGGGGGCAATGTGGGAAAATAGTTTTAATTGCACTTGTACATCTTTTTTTAAAAATTATTTTTAATTTCAATGAACATTTACAGAGATTGTGGATTTCCATTCATTCGTACATCCCTTTTTATAATTGTTGTTCAGCATCTTTTAAAATACTTGCTAGAAATTTGCACGTCTTAGTTTTTCTTGGTTTATAAAATTCAGATTATAAGGAATATAAAGACTTGATTTGGTGAGCATTGTGCGATAGCTTCCTTTCTTGAAGGTGTCTCTTCTGGCCATTGAGACATAACTGAAGGGAATACAAATTTGACCTGGGTTCTAACTCCTATTTCAGTGTTCAGAGGGTCCCTTTTCTGGTCCATTTTTACATTTAGATATATGAACTAACAGTTGAGGAGAAATCCTGATTTACCACTTACCTTCATTGAAATGATTTATAAAATCAAGAGCATGTTTAATAATTTTTCTCATTTGATCCAAAATATCAGCTCTCAGAACCCCTTGAGGTTGTGGACCAACTTCTATACCTAAGTATAAATTAGAAAAAACCAAGCATTTGGCTAGATGAAGATCTAAATATAGACCCTGTAGCAACATGGAATCTATTTAAAACAAAATGTTAGTTAACATATAAATTGGAATATACGTACACATTATGTCATAATGAATAAAGACTGGGAGAGAACATGGAAGAAAAATCCGAGCTGTGTTAGAGTAACAAAATATTGTTGTTTTAAAAGAATTATTTGGCATTGCCAATGTATTTTAAAAACATAATATAGTTAAGACAGCAATCAAATTTATGTTGACAAAATAGTAAGTAGTCAAAAAGAGATTTGTTGCAAATAGCTATTTTGGCATAGAAAAAGAAACTAAATGAGCCGTGGATTTGAGTAAACATAACAATCTATTCCATCCTGAAACAACATTTCTCCCTTAACATAACAATCCATCCTGACACCATAAAGCAAATGTTTCAAATTTATGTTAAAATATGTATTCATTTCTTATTATCACAGTAGAACTATGTTTGTATATCAGGGCTACCATTTGTCACTGTCAAACATCCATCCTTACAGCTATAAAATTACTCTTTCTCTAGACCATTTATCAAGTTCTTTCTCTTCTGTTCAAACCATTTGCACACTGATGCCTTCAGTTATTACTCTCTCCTTCTCAAGGCTATTTGTAAAGACAATGATCTTGGAAGATAGAGAGGGGGTTTTCCTGGAAGCAAAGGGCAGGTGCGCCTAGGGCCGGATATAGAAGACTCCAAGTTTCTTAGCTGTCTTCACCCTTGTGATACAACCACTGGTGTGCAAGGGTGTTTGTTACCTAGTCCTTTTCACACACCCTGGGGACTGGGGCTTGGAAAAAGTACAAAAATGACACTTTGTTACTACTGTTGTTAATAATCTATTACTTATCTCTGATATAGTAGTCTTGTGTTATCTACCAGTGTCCACAAAACAGTGGCAAACTAATTTGTTAATTTGTAACATACTGGTGAAAGTATCAGCTATTTTACAGTCCTTGACAAAGAGTGAGCCAGAAAGGAACCAGGAGAACCTAAAGATCAGAGTCCTAGGGGACTAGAAACATTTTGAGAAGCAGATTAACTGCACTTCTGATTCAGCCAAACCTGAGCACTTTTAGTAAGCTCATGAATGTATTAATGTACTGAAAAAGCTAATCAATGTTCCTGATATTAAGAATGTTTTCAGGGAGCTCTGGTGGCCTAGTGGCAAGACGCTGCACTGCAATCCCAGAGGTACGCGGTTCAAATCCACCAGATGCTCTGCTGGAGAAGGAGGGGGCAATTTCCTCCTGTACCAGTCAGATCTGATTTGACGGTACATGTAAAAATAATAATAATAAAAAAAGAATGTTTTCAAGCTTTCTGCTCTCAGGTGGAAAACTACCAAAAAACTCAACTATCACACAACTTCCTCCTTCCAAAGAAAACGTTAACTCATCAAAGGTTTCAAGTCACCACTAACACCTACTAACACTAAGCTACTTACAAGATTCCTCAGGGCCCACTAAGTTGAACACTTGGACAGAATGATCGCATTGTTTCCAACTATCACCCTCCTTTTTCTCTAGTCCTTGTGTTTATAATAAACCCCCTAACCACTCTACCTTCAGGGATATTTTCTCCTAATACTCAGATTCTCCTTACTTGGAGAGTGAATAAACCCGTTAGTTTGCTGCTATCTTCATTTTTGAGAATTCTTTCTCACTTTGGGACATCGACCCACCTACCATGGACTATCAAAGCTGTTGTTGTTGTGGTGGACCATCGAATCGAACTGACTCATAGCTGACTCTCTGGTGGATTTTCAGAGGCAGTTAGTTACAAAAGAGGACTAATATTTTCTATATAGTTATACTTTATGATAGAGAATATTTGTATATATTGATGTGAAATATGTGATTGAAATTGTGATTAATAATCATTCATATGTTTTAACTGGAAATTTCAATTAACACTTTATTAGGCTGTAGAAAGGGTAGGCCAGAGAACTCTATGATAATACAGATTACTGTGTAGCAGGAAAGAAATCAAGCAGGAGTTTGGGGACCATTGTATATCATATTCCCTTCAGTCTGAAGTGTCGTCTAAGGCTGGGGTCTGCTCCACTGTTTAAAGAATTGTAGAGTAATTGATTCTTTCTGGAGTGGGGCCAGGTAAACTCTATAGGAGGTGACGTTTGAACTTTTCTTTCAGCAGGAGAAGAATTCTACTAGACTCATAGCAAAAGAAGCAAAATGATTGTCCAGTGAAACTTAGTTTATTTAGGAGGAAATTTAGTATAGTTAGACTGCTTGCCTGCCTGGTATAATTTTGCTTGTTACTTAAAAGATACTATGCAAAGTAATTATAAATATTTTCTAAAAAGAATTTTCTTAGTATTTTAGCTAGGATATACTTTGTTCAGTCAGGACAATGGAAAATAATACTTACCAACAGGATATTTGGCTACAGAGCGAGTGGTTGCATATTTGAGAGAAGGATGCTCGATAAGATAAACATAGCAAGGTAATGGGTCCAAAGATGTCTGAAAAGAATTTAAAATATCATTCTTGCTATATAAAAATCATATTTTTATTTTCACTGCTATAAACTCCATCAATATGTTTTGATTCATCAACTAAGATTAATAAACCCACTTTATGAAATGAATTTTAAACCTCAGTGATATTATTATACTTTTAAAATAGTATAAATGAGTTACTCATAACACAAAATTACACAAATTTCTAGGTAAAATGTACATGAAGCAGTTAACCAGAACCGTAGCTGAAGAACATAAGATATACTTTTCTTGTAAATTGAGATCCTTGTTTTTGTTTTCATCACTGGTTACATTTACTTTTTAGCTTGGTGTTAATCTCTGTAAAGAATTTTGTGTCTATCCCTGTAGTCCTGCTTTCTATAGATGTTTAGTGACCTCCCCTCATCCTTACCACCCTTTGTCTAAATGAGAATTCAAGCCAGACCTTTCAGTTTTGATAATTTGCTGCTTTTCTGCATCTGGCAACTAAGGCATTGAATGATCCTTTCAAATGTTTAACAAAAACAGCTTTATTTTCATTTCCTTCAAGAACTAGTTAACTACTGTCAAAAACTCAAGGGAAAGAATACTAGCTAACCTTTATAATCTGCTAGGTATTGGGCTAGATGCTTGAAATACTTGGCATCATTCATGGTATTTAACAGTCATGGGAGTGTTGTTATTGTGCTAACTTTATAAAATGAGGAAAACAAGATTTTTTGGAGCTGAGTGTCTTTTTCCAACATTAGTGAGTGAGGAAATCAGCATTAGAACCCGGGTCCTCTTGGCTACACACTTGCCCCACTAAGTCATACTGGCGCTCAGGGAGGACAGATGGCCATTATACTAAGGAAACAAACAATTCATTGTTATTTACTGGCAATTTTTTTCTAGTGACAGGCACAGATTCACTAAATTTTTTTTCTGTAGATTTCTGGGCTTTAAAATGATTAGCTAGATCATATATGTGTGGGAGTATCTGAGTAAAATGGGGCAAAAGAAGCACTAACAGAGCCTATCATTAGAAAATAGTCAAGTAACTATTTTATGAGCATCCTAAATTGAACTAGTCCCACCACAAACTTTTAATAACTTTGGTATTAATTAGACTAGACCATGATTTGGCAGTTGTTTGAATAAAAGTTTTATAATTTATAGATAATGAATCCGTAAGTGTTTGTGAATTTCATTTATTATTTTACTCCTTCTCCCTCTACAGTCTGGTTGCCCTTTCTCTCCCAAGCTTACCATGGAGCAGATCTCCTGGGCACTCCCTACTGATCCCTCTTTTTCTACTTATGCAACATCTTTAATGAATTTAAAAGTACAGGCACTATGTTAACTTATAAATGAATAACATTAAAATTACCTTAATATAATGAAACATCTGAATTAAAAAGTCATCCTTGGAATCTTCAAGAATAAGAGTGCACCCCATGTTAGATGTGGTATTGTGAAGGTCAAAGATAATGTCGTAAGAATCTTCACTATCTTTTGGACCAAATAAATAATTTATTTCTTGAGCCCGTCTTACTTCATATGGCAAATCCTCTGACCTAGTTTTGCTGTTCTTAGCAAAAAAGAAAAAGATTAACAACATCTGTGGCTGAGATAACATAATTATACAATAAAAACACAATGTGCAAGGAACCAGTTGTCAAACCTTTATTACCAAAAAATATGTGGGAGAAGAAATAACTGTTGCTCTTAAGTACCATCAAGTTGACTATAATTCACAGAAACTCTGAACCTTGTCTTTTCCCATTCCATCTTCACCATCTCTGATACGCTCGAGCCTATTGTCACAATTACTGTCATCTTGTGGAAGGTTTTCCTTTCTTTTGTTGACACTCCACCATTCCCAGCATGATGTCTTTCGAAGAACTGTTCCTTCCTGACAATATGCCTGAAGTACGTGAGATGAAGTTTCATCCTTGCCTCTAAGGAGCTCCCTGGTTACACTTTCTCCAAGATAGATTTGTTTGTTCTTTTGGTAGTCTGTGAGATAGTCAATATTCTTCTCCAACACCACAATCCAAAGGCATCAATTCTACTTCTGTCATACTTATTAGTTTTCCATCTTCAAAATGCTTAAGAAGTAAGTGAAGAGACCATGGCTTGGATTGTTTTTGTTGTTGTTGATTGCCGTCGAGTCAAGCACAAACTCATAGAGACCCTACGAACAAAAAGCCTGAAGCCTTTCTATAACTATCGTCATTTATCAAAGTTCATAGAGTTTCCAGAGCCATGTTGTTTAGGAAGTAGATGCCACTCCTATTTCCAACTTGGATTTGGTGTCTTTAAACTGATATCCTGGAAATAAGCTAAGTGAGTATAAATGGTCAGCCCATGAAGAAAAACACCATAAAGAAGACGGACAGTGAAAAAGAAGTCCTCAGTCAGACGGATTGATACAGTGACTGAAACTATGGCATTATTTAAGTGCAGAAAGGGACTCTGGTAGCCTAGTAGTAAGAAACTGTACTGCAATCACAAAGGCATGAGGTTTCAATTCACCAATTCCTCAGCAAAAGGATGGGCAGTCTCCTCTTGTATGACTTATTCCCTTTGAAAACCTGTGTTGGTTCTGACTCAATGACACAAAAAGAACAGAGAGATTATGAGGACCCCACAGTATCAGGCAGGGCTTCATTCTGTTGTACATAGAGTTGAGATGAATTGGAGCCAAAATGACAGTACTTCACTCTAACAGTGTAAATGGGGAGTTCCTGGATGTGCCAATAGTTAACATACTTGTTGTGGAAAAAAAAAGGCTAGTGGTCCAAGTCCTGATGATCAACTTCTGAAAAAGTGAATTCAACAATTGACAATCCTATAGGGCCATTTTACTCTGATATGCATGGATTTGCCATGGGTTAGAACTATTTCAACAGCAACTGGCTTGATTTTTATTTTGGCTTAATGAAAATAGAGACAAACACTGGACTTTAAAGGAAATAATTGAGAAGACTTAGTGACCCATTGGACATGGAGGGTAAAGGCAAAAAATATACTAAGGTGAGTTTCATTAGGGATTTTGTGAGTAATGCTGCCATTACTGAAATGAGAATATTGGAGAACTAACAAATTCGAAGAAATGAAGAGAATGAATCCATTTATCTTATAAATTTTCAAACTGATCTTGAATGAAATCTGTTTAGCTTCTTGGTAGAATTAAGGACAAGAACCAGAAAATGAATTTAAATAAGATTGCTGTCACTGAGCTTCATACTATGGGATCGCCATGATAAAACTCATCCTATTTCAAAGTTATTTTTTTAAAAAAATTAAGTCAAATAAGAGTTATTTTTCATAGTTCTTACTATGACATGTTATTGTTGTTAGGTACCATTGAGTTGAATACGACTCAAGGTGACCTTATGAACAACAAATCTGAAACTTGTTCTATCCTGTGCCAACCTCACAATCTCTGACATATCCAAGTCTATTGCTGTAGTCACTGTGCCAATCCACCTGGCTTAAGGTTTTTCTCTCTTTCAGCATCCCCTTGCCTTTCCAAGCATATTGTCCTTCTCTAAGGAATATTTCCTAGCAACATGCCTAAAGTATATGAGATAAATTCTTGCCTCCAAGGAGCACTCTGGCTACATCTTCTTCAAGATATATCTGTTCTTTTGGCAGTACATGGGATATTCAGTACTCTTCTCCAAGATCACAGTTCAAAGGCATCGAGTCTTCTGTCATCCTTCGTCATTGTCTAGGTCTCAGCAGCATAGCACATAATTAGAAAGAGCATGGTCTGAATCAGGTGCACCTTAGTCCTCAAACTAACACCATTACTTCTTAAAAATTTGGAGAGGTCCCTGACTGTAGACTTTCCCAGTGCAATAAATCTCCTGATCTCCTAACTGCTAGTATCAAGCATATTGATTATGGATCCCAGTAAGATGAAGTGGTTGACAGTTTCAATCTGTGATGTTGCCCACTGGTTCAGTGGTGAGAATTTTTATTTTCTTATATGTGAGATGCAATCCATATTGAAGGCTGCAGTGTTTGATTTTCTGCAAGTGTTTCAAGTCCTCCTTACTTTCAGCAAGTTATTTTACAATAATGATATAATTTCATCAGGAAAATAAAGTACTTTAGAAATTAAAATTAATACTCATAAAAGCATGATTTAATACACAAAGTATGATAAATGTATAGTTGGTCTGTAGAATATCTATGCTATACAACATTCCAAAGAAAGGTGACCCAACTGAGTGTGGAAACTACAGAACAGTGTCATTGATTTCACATGCAAGCAAGATTCTACTGAAGATTATCCAAAAACGATTAGAACAGCACATCAGCAGAGAATTGCCGGAAGTCCAGGCTGGGCTTAGAAGGGATCGTGGTACTAGGGATATTGTTGCTGATATTAGATGGATCTTGGCTGAAAGCAGAGAATACCAGAAGAATGTCTATCTGTGTTTCATTGATTATGCAAAGGCATTTGACTGTGTGGATCATAACAAACTGTGGCTGACTCTGAGAAGAATGGGAATCCCAGAACATTTAATTGTGCTAATGCGAAACCTATACTTGGACCATGAGGCAGTAGTCAGAACAGAGCAGGGTAACACTGCATGGTTCAAAATTGGGAAGGGTGTATGCCAGGGATGCATCCTGTCTCCATACCTTTTTAACATGTATGCAGAGCAGAGTATCCAAGAGGCTGGGCTCTATGAGGAGAATTGTGACATCAGGATTGGTGGAAGATCTATTAACAATCTGCGTTACGCAGATGACACAACCCTGCTTGCTGAAACTGAGGAGGACCTCATGCACTTGCTGCGAAGGGTCAAGGACTGCAGCCTTCAGTATGGACTGAGGCTCAATGTCAAGAAGACAAAGATTCTCACCACTGGACCGATTGGCAGCATCAGGATGGATGGTGAAGAGATTGAGATTGTTCACAGCTTCAGTTTGTTCGACTCCACAGTCAACACTCTTGGCACCAGTAGTCAGGAAATCAAAAAGCGTATCGTGATGGGAAAGTCTGCTGTTAGGGACCTCTCTAAAGTACTCAAGAGCAACAGTGTCTCTCTGGAGACCAAGGTATGCCTGATACAGGCCATGGTCTTTGCAATCGCTTGTTATGCATCAGAGAGTTGGACAATGACTAGAGAGGACAGAAGGAGAGTTGATGCCTTTGAGCTGTGGTGCTGGAGAAGAGTACTGAATGTACCACGGACTGCCAGGAAAACAAACAGATTCATCTTGGAGAGGATTAAACCAAGCTACTCCTTGGAGGCAAGGATTCTGGGGCTTTGTCTGACATACTTTGGACATGTTGCCAGGAGGGATGGGTCCTTGGAGAGGGACATCATGCTTGGGAGGGTGGAGGGACGGCGCAGGAGGGGAAGACCCTCTATGAGATGGATTGATTCAGTGACTGGGGTAATCAGGATGGGTGTGTCAGAGGCAGTGCGGTTGGCGCAGGACAGAGCAGGGTTTAGGGCTGTTGTGCATAGGGTCGCTATGAGTCGCAAACGACTCGATGGCACATAACAACAACAACAACATACAAGAAGGTGTACTTGAATAAAAGGTAGGAGCCATCATTTGATTTACTATGAGATCAAGCCCAAGTAATTATCTTTATTCAAACTAGTGTTTATTATAAAAAGAGTATAATAAAGTCTACTTTGAGCATGTTGCCAGGAGGGGCCATTCCTTGGAGAAGGATATTATGTTTGGAGTGATGGAGGGACAGCAGAAGAATGGAAAACATTGGAAGAGATGGATTGACACAGTAAATGAGCATAAGTATGTCAGAGGCAGTGAGAGTGGCTCAGGATAGGAGAGGATTCAGAACTATTGTGCATAGGGTTGTTAGGATTCACAAATAGACTTGATGGCACATAACAAAAACAATAACAGCAAAGCAGTTCTGCTTTAGTTGTTTGTTTCCATATTACATTTTAACTAGTAGTCTACAAACTCCTTGATAATACGGACCATCTCTTACTATTTCAGCTTTGGGTTCTGGAAAGAGTAGACATTTAGAAATATTTTTAGATACATTAAGTAATGAAGTGGAAAAAGGTAAATATTTAGAGGCATATCTACCTGCACCATTATATTTGCTTGTCCTTATAGTTTATTCTTAAGGGTATAATTTACTTGTCAGGTTTTGTATTGGAGAAGTATCTTTGCATGTTGCTCCTCTTAATAGCTTAGATATGTAAATGTTTGCTTGTTTATCATCTGTTCTTTTGGGTACAAAGCTTGTCTGTCAGATGCTGTACTAAAGTGGAGCTCCCAGATTAAGACAGACTAGGAAGAAGGATTGACCATCTGCTTCTGAAATAACAAGCCTTGAAAAATCGTGTGAACAATGGAGACTATTAGATATAGCACCAGAAGTTGAGCCCACATATTAGAAGACACACACAAAAAATAAGGAGGAATAGTTGTAAATATCAGTAATAATTTAAAATGCATGATTTACAAATGTAGAAAAATTGGACATGGTTAAAAATGAAATGGAATGTATAAATATTGACATACTAGGCGTTAGCAAGTAGAGATGAATTGGCATAGGTCTCTTTGAATCAGACTACTATGATCTACTAACTGGGAATGAAAAAGGGAAGAAAAAAATGCAGTTGCATTCATAGTAAAAATGAGCCATTTCTAAATCCATTCTGAAGTGCAATATTGTGAGTGACAGGATACTATCCCAAAATAAAAAAAACCTGTTAATACCATACTATTGTTCGAATACATGTATCAACAACTAAAAGCAAAGAGGAAGAAATAGAAATTTTCTACCAACCTTTGCAGTCTGAAATCGACCAAATGTGCAACCAAGATATATTAATAATTGGTGCCTGGATTACAAAAGAATGAATTGCTGGAGAAGCTCAAAATCAGCTGTGAAAATTAGGCTAGGTACTGACTGTGGAACAGACAACTACTCATGTGCAAGTTCAAATTGAAGCTAAAGGAAATGAAAACAAATCCAATAGAAACAAAAATAAGACCTTGAGTTTCTCCCACTTGAATTTAAAAACTCTCTCAAGAACAAGTTTAAGGCCCTGAACACTAATGAGCAAAGACCAGATGAGCTGTGAGGTGATAATAAGGATATCATCCATGAAGAAAGTAAAGGGTTGCTACAAAGACAAAGGAGGAAGAAAAGACCATGGTGGATGTTGGAAGAGATTTTGAATATTGCATTAGAATGCTGAGAAGCCAAAATAAAGGGAAGAAATGAGGAAGTTGAAGAGTTGAGCAGAAGATTTCAAAGGGTAGATGATAAAGACAAAGCAAAGTATTATTATATCAGAATATTCAAAGTAACTGGAGTTAGAAAATCAAAAGAGAAGAACTTGCTCAGCATTTCTCAAGTTGAAGGAACTGAAGAACAAATTCAAGTCTTGAATTGCAATACTTAAAGATGTCATGAGTGGAATATAGAATGATTCAGGAAGTATCAAAAGAAGATGAAAGGAATACATAGAATCTCTTTACCAAAAAGAATTGACTGACACAGAAACATTTTAGGAAGCAGCATATGATCAATAACCAGTGGTAATAAAAAAGGAAGTTCAAGAAGCTCTGAAGGAATTGACAAAAAATAGACCCTAGGAATTCATGGAATACTAACTGACATATTTCAACAAACATGCAGCCCTGGACGTGCTCACCAGGTTGTGTCAAGAAATCAAGAGGAGAGCTACCTGATCAACTGACTGTAAGAGATCCATATTTATTCCCATTTCAAAAAAAGGTGATCTAACAGAATGCAGACATTATCGAAAAATATCACATGCAAGCAAAATCTTGCTGAAGATTATCCAGAAAGGACTAGAACAGTACATTGACAGAGAACTGCTAGAAAAACAAGCTAGGGTTAGAAAAGACTGTCATTAGGGACATCATTGCTGATGTCAGTGATAGCACCAGAAAGATGTCTGTGTTTCATTGCCTATGTTTAGGCATTTGACTGTATGGATCACAGTAAATTGTGGCTGACACTGAGAAGAATGGGAATCCCAGAACACTTGATGGTGCTCACATGAAACACACCTAGACCAGGAAGCTAGTTGTCTGAACAGAGCAAAGGAACACTGCCTGGTTCAATATCAAGAAAGAAGTGCATCAGGGATGTATCCTTTATTTACCTTTTTAATCTATATGCTGACAAATCATTTGAGAGGCAAGACTTTATGAAGAAGAATGTAGCACCAGGATTGGAGGAAGACTCATCAATTGCATTATGCAAATGATACAATCTTGCTTGCTGAAACTAAGGAGGACTTGAAGCACTTCCTGTAGAAGACCAAGGACTGCAGCCTTCAATGTAAATTGCATATCAACATCAAGAAAACAAAGATCTTCATCACTGAGCCAACAGGCAGCATCATGATAGATAGAGAAAAGATTGAAGTTGTTAACAATTTCATCTTGCTTTGATCCACAATCAACAACATTGGCACCAGCAGTCAGGAAATGAAAAGACAGCATTAGGAAAGTACACTCTCATGAACCTCTTCTGAGTACTAAAGAGCAATGAATTATGTCAGTTTAGAGATTAGGGTGTGCCTGATTCAGGCAATGGTCTTCTCAATTGTTTCCTATGCATCTGAGAATTGGATAATGAATAATGATGACAGAAGAAGAATCGATGCCTTTGAGTTGTGGTGCTGCAGAATAGTATTGAACATACCATGGACCACCAAGAGAACAAACAAAAGGTCTGTCCTGAGGAGGGTGAAATCAGGCTACTTCTTAGAGGAAAGGATTTTGAAACTCCATCTCACATACTTTGGGTATGTTGTTAGGAAGGGGCCAGTGTTTGGAGAAGGACACTATGCTTGGAAGGTGGAGGGTCAGCACACAGGAGGAAGACCCTGGATGAGATGGATTGGCACAGTGACTGTGGCAATGGAGTCAGGTGTGTCAAAGGTGATGAGGTTGGCTCAGCATAGGGTAAGGTTCACAGCCATGGTTTATAGGGTTGATGTAAGTTGTAATCAACTCGAGAGCACCTAATAACAACAATCTACAAATGTATCAACAACAATCCACAATGGTAACAAGTAAGATACAAAACCAGCAAAAATAGTTAACAAGGACATACCTAGAGTGAAACTGTTAAATATACTGTATGCGGTAAATTACACCTTGGCAGCAATTTTAGTTACATAGTTCTGGTGAAGTGCCTTTGCCTTTCATTATTCCTACATATGGTAATCTACCACAGATGGTCAGCACAGTCATCTCTTGGTATGGGGGTGGGATGAGGAGATGTTGGTTCTGTCGATACCAGAATCCAAGGATGTCCAAATCTCTCATGCAACATGGCACAATATTTGCAAATAACGTATGCACATCCTCTCATATTTGAAATATTATAGAATAAATCCTACACTTCACTTCATTTTTATCGGTTCAGCATAGCGCTTGGTGCCAGGTAAACTCAATTTTTCCTTTTTGGAACTTTCTGGATTTTTTTCCCTTGGATTTAGAGTCAATAGATAGAAAGGGCAGACTGTATATCTATTTCATATCTGTTGTCTGATGACGGGTGTTTACTCATTCTTCCACTCAACAAATACTAATTGAAATATTACATTTTTCTAAAGGAGACCTTTATAAACTATCACAGAAATTGTTGTGTGAAAAAATAGTAATAGAATTATCAAGAAAACTAAAGAACTTATGCACAAGCATAGTAATCAAACATTAATTTAATGCAAAGGATTATGAAACATGTTTCCTTATAAGAAGTAAATAAATAAATAA